TTTCATGACATACTTCTTATTTTCTTGCTGTACTAAGTATAGAACCCTCTATCACTGAGCCACATCATAGTCCTTTTAATTTTTTTGAAAAAGGGTCTTGCTAAATTGTTGAGGCTACCCTCAAACATGCAATCCTTCTGCCTTCCAAGTCACTGGGATTATAATTGTGCACTATTGTGCACAGGTTGACATACTTATTTTTATTTTTAAATTTTAATTGGAATTTTATTAAATATATAGCTTAATGTGGGACACCTCGACAGACTTTATTTCTTTTTTAAAAATTTTTTGGTAGTTGTTAGATGGACAGAATGCCTTTATTTTATTTGTTTCATTTTTATGTGGTGCTAAGGATCAAACCCAGTGCCTCACACATGATAGGCAAGTGCTCTGCTGCCGAGCCCCAGCCCCAGCCCTTAACATACTTTATATTGAAGACAAGTAAATGACTTAAGAGATAGTGAAAGCTGATAACTGTATTTTAAGAAAACATAATTATCTTTGTAGAGGTTCAATTTTCCCATATAAAGGGCAGAGATGGTGTTGATTCTATTTAAACATTTGAAAGATCTAAAAAGTTGAACAAAGGTATTCATGTGCTAATAATTCCGAATCCCTAAACAGGAACTACAAAAGTGCACTCATGTTAACACACATGTAAGTGTGGATTTTTACTAGACATAAAACACTTTGCAAGAGAAGTAGCCAAATACGGGAGGATTAAATGGAATGTTACCTAGTTGGTATAATTTTTATTACCCTGTTAAGCTGCCTACTGTATTGTCAGAAATAGGTGTGTGTGTGTGTGTGTGTGTGTGTGTGTGTGTGTGTGTGTGTTCATTAGAACTGATATAGCCCTCAGGGCTCTGTTGCCAGTTCCAGGTCCTGAAGCTCTTTGTACACTCCTCTTGGCACCCCGACTCTGCTAGTTTGCTCATACTCTGCCAGCATCCTTCTCCAATGCCCAACACTCAGTAGTAACATGTTTAGTCAATTCTACAGGCACCTACGCCTAAGCTATAAAATATGCTCGTGAAGAACCTTTTCTGTGATTATGAGGACTGAGATAGTAAATTGAATCTCTCATGCCAGGGTGGTGTAATGATAGGAATTGAGGCAACCTGTTTAATCTCAGTTCTTTGATAAATGATAATGTTGATGGCTTGCAAAAATCTTCTTTCTCCAAGATAAGAGTGAATAAGCAGGATACTTCTCAGAGAAGTGAAGAAAACCACTTCCAAGAATCCTGCTTATGATGGAATATATATCCTTTGTGAGGAGCAAAACCCTTCTCATTCTCTTCTTTACAGAACGCTCCATTTCCTCTCTCACCACTGGCTCATCTGTTTCCATGGCTGTCTGCCTATCAGTATCCTTCCTTTGCTTTCTGTGGACTCTCCCATGGGTTGAAGACCTACACAGAAAGCTGTTGCACACCCTGTTCCCTCTGCTAGTCCTTCTGTAGAATGCCAAAAGCACAATACCCGGAATAATGTATGTGTGGATTTTGTAGGCAAAGCCAGTGTCTAGACTGCTGTTCTAGGTTGTGATTTGGAACTTGGCATGTTATTCTGATGTCCATGCCAATGCCATCATATAGTAAATCACAAAGAATTGAAATTGTTAAGTGGTTAGGGATATGAACCCTGTTGCCATTCTGTCTGGGTTTGAATCCTGCCTCTACTATTACTGGCTGTGTGAGCTTAGACAACTTAATTAGCTTCACTGTTTTAGGTTCTCATACATCTGCTGTGTGGAGTTGTTGTGAGGAATGAATGTCTCAGTCCTCATAAAGAGCTTAGAAGAGCACTTGACTTTTAGTAAGTGCTCAGTAACTGTTGACTGCTGTTGCTATTGTTAAATGGGCACTGAATCAGTATGGGAAGGATATGCAAGTGATTATAAAGAAAGAAGAGATACTTTATCTTCAAAGTAATTTATAGACTTCAAAGGATAAAAAAAAAGTATACCAGAAAGAAAAAAAAAAGAAAGAAAAGGAGAAATGAAAATGGTTTGAAATCCCAAGGAGACAAGGTTTAGGGAATACTCTAGAACTGAGAATTAGAAGATAAAATTCAGAATATGCCAGTGAAGGCTTAGCCGAGAAAAGTAGGCACTCCCTAAATAACGTGAGAGAGTCCTCCATTGTCACTTCAAGGATATAAGCAGTCTCAAGGTCATTGGAAGGTGTGCTGTCTGTAAAGATCTCAGCTTCTATCCAGAATAGGAGAGGTACAAAAGACTCCTGCCTATTTTGGGCTTTGCTGAGTCTCACTTCTCCAGGCATTTCCACAGGGACAAATCTGAAGGTCAGTTCCAGCGTGCATGTTCATTCTCCAAACAGAAGGATGTGAAGAGGAGTAGGAGACCTTCTCAGTGGGTGTGGTGCCTAAGAGCTTTGACTGGGAGATAGCAAATCAAATTTGCATCTTGGCTCTAGGATGCTAATGGGACTTAGATTTAGAATTAGCCTGTATTGATGCAGCTCTAATAGTTCCTGATGGACATTGGGATATCACCCATAGTTTAAGAAGTATTCTCTGAAATTCTGCTGAATAGTTGTCTAATGAGCACTTGCCCAATTCTCTCAAAGCGCTTTTTATAATGACAGAAAAATAGCAAACAGATGCCTCAAGCACTGCCATGGAATTCTATTTCCTTGGGTTCCTTTTGTTTCATTGCAGTGCATGCATTGTATACCAGGAAAACCTATTTGCTTACATATCCATATATTATACGTCATTCTCGATTTTTTATGTTCATAGCACCTTCCTTCTGCATTATTGTTTATCTGATTTCAAGTGTCTGTGCCCTGATTTCTATATCTCTGTATTTTGCACTGACCCTTTCAGCATTTGTTACAACATAAATTTGATCCATATGTATACATTTTAAGTGGCTATTTTTATTAGATTAGTATATCTAAAAATTATATGTCTTCTTTTATCTTAGTTTTTCGAGTATCACTCATGTTTGACAGGTACAGGCACCTGGAGGGGATATTGCATACAACCCTTATGTATCATCATCTAACATTAACTCAAGTAATGCTGGTTTCCATGGGTTTCTTTATTAGAAGCTTGGTTTATTGATTTACATTAATCTTTTGGTGTCAACTAATTAATGAATATGTGATATGTGAGTGTGTCTTCAGAGTTTTCCCCCAAAAGACCTTCATCTTTACCCACCCAAACTAATTGTGTAGACAGAAGTGTGTTTATTGGTTCCTTTCTTATGTTTACCTTAGAATATCCATGATCTACATTTAGCTTCTACATTACAAGAGGGCAGGATCGTGGCTTCTGTGGGCTCCCTAAAGCATTTTGGATAAGTGAGAATTCTCAATATTGGATTATCCCCTTACCTATGTTAGATGTCATTGTTAATTCATGATTATATAGATTGCAGGTCTTCGAAATTGAAATATCTATAAACTAGATGATAAACCTAACTTTAATGAGATTCAGCTAAAAAATCTGTAACCATCCCCCCCATTAGTGCCCCCCCTCACCCCCACCCCTGCTGCCTCCATTGTCCATAGGAAAGGAATACAGGCACTTCCTTGGGTCAGAGAATAAGCTCTTTGGTTCGGGTGCAGATTAATTTGCAAGGCAAGAACCTTTCAGCCAGGCTCCATGCTCTGGGCTCTCTCTCCCCTAGACGTGCCTATAATTCTGTTTTCCAGCTGCTCTCTCCCTGCTTGCTGGAAGGCAGATGATCTCAGCCTGGCACACACAGCAACCTCTCTCCTGCCCTGGCCTGGCTCTTCCTTCCTCCAGGCAGGGCCATGCCACAGATGTGTGCTAATGAGAGCTTCTCTTTGTTTACAGGGTTTGGGATGCTCTGACAGACAATTACATCCCTTCACTCTCAGAAGACTGGAGGGACCCAAACATCGAGGCTCTGAATGGCAACAGCTCTGACACTGAGGTACCTCTTTGGGGCCCTCTATTTAGCAGGGCTTGGGAAGATGTGGAACTCAGAAAAACATCCAGCAACTCAACAATCTTCGGCAGTAATAATAGCTCAAAATCATTACTGGAGGGCTGGGGTTGAAGCAAAGTTGTGGGGTGCTTGCCTAACACATGTGAGGCCCTGGGTTTGATCCTCAGCAACACATAAAAACAAATAAATAAACAGATGATATTACTGTATGTATATATGTGACTACATGACCAATATGATTCTATAACGTGTACACTCAGAAAAATGAGAAATTATATCCCATTTTGGTATGATATATCAAAGTGCATAAATGCCTTCTACTGTCATCTATAACTAATTAAAACAAATTTAAAAATTTAAATAAATAAATAAATAGAATTTTTTAAAAAGGTATTGTGTCCACCCACAACTAAAATTTTCATTTGAAAAAATCATTTCTGAGAAAGTAGTGTCATCAGATTCAATGGGTCTGACCAGGTGTGGAGAGGGATAAAAACAATAAGATAAGGGGACATCCAGTGAATCGAGGTGATTAAATGGTTATATATGAAAAGTGTAAGTGCAGGTAACATCTATTTGTTTATTTATTTAGAGGGCTGGGGATTGAACACAGAGCCTCATACATACTATACAAGAGTTCTAGCACTGTGCTACTTCCCCAACCCAGGATTCATTATGAAACTCAACCAAGGGGACAGTTGTGTGTCGGGACCAGAGTCATACTCCATGGTTCCTGATGCCAAGCAACTAAGTAGCCTAAGGGCTTTGAATAAATAGAGGACTCTCACTCTGAGTTGATTTGCATGGGTTATGGGGAGTGACCTTTCAGAAGATCCAATTGCCCCTCCTGGCTAAATCTATATATAAGATGAATGGTTTTAGTAACCAGAATATTTTGGACTGACTGACTTACGAAAAACAGTTATTTATTCCCCACATTTCTGGACACTGGAAGTCCAAGACGAAGACACTGGCAGATTCAGAGTCTGGTGAGGGCCATGTTCTTGGTTCATAGATGGCATCTTCTTGCTGTGTCTTCGCATGGAAGAAAGGACAAACGAGCCACACTAAGCCTATTTTATAAGGGCACTAACCCCATTCATGAGGTTCTATTCTCATGACCTAATCACTTCCCAAAGGCCCTACCATCATCATTTTTTATTTTGCAATGAAGTCTCACCTAATCTACATCAGTTTGGAGGTTAGGACTTTGACTTAAGTTTTTTTTTTTTTTTTAATTCAGCCCATCACAAAAGATAAAAGAATTTAATGGCTCAATCCATGTTAAAAGCCAATTAGAAAAAAAAAAAGCCAATTTCCACCTTGCCTGGTTATCTAGTTTCAGTTGTGAAGGAAATTTGTCAGGAAGTTCTGGCATAGCCGAGTGGACTCAGCAAATCATAAAGGGAGGTTGGATCTAATCTTCCTAGGTATTCCAGAACTGAATCCAAGTAAAAGAGCAGGAAGCAGATTCCCCTTACTAGGCAATATATGTGCAAATTATTGCTCAAAATAGCATAGCAAAGAGATCAGGTTTTGGCTGACTTGTTGAAAAGGTGACTGTATATCATTTTAAAGTCTTCTTTAAGTACTCAGAACCTCAAGGATTCATTGACTGGGGCAGGTAAGATGGTGACTTTGCTAAAAGCCTATTCCACACAAGCACAGGAAGCCACATCATAGGTTCTGTTTTGAATTCTTGCCTGCTCATTTTCTCTTGCAATGCCTATATGGGTAGTGCTGAGTTCTTACCCAGAATGCAAAGGAAAAGAAGGCAATAGTGGAATAAATCTAGTTATTGAAATTAAATCAGTTCTTTCAGGGTGCAAAAGGCAGATTTTGTTTTGTTATCTCTTTGGCCACCTTTCCAATTCCTTTTGCAGATTAAGCCAAAAGATGTATAAGATAGTCTGTCCTTCTGAAGGACTCTAATTTATCCTCATTTGCAGATTTCCCTCAAGAGAGCTAATATTTCAGGATGAATTGAGCGACCCTGGGAAGGATGATCTTGAGCTCTGCTTTGTGGAGTTCTTCTATCCAACCCCTGGGAAAAAAGTCAGGGTAGCAAAAAAGGGTGGAGGAAGGGTGTTTTATTTCATCCTCCTTTATTATCTAGATTAATTACAGTAGAAGCTCTTTAACTGACCTCAGTTTAAATGACTCACTAGGTTAACCGGTGCTCTGAATTCCTTCTGCAAAATGTACCAACCAAACATGCCAGCTCACACAGCTGGGAGGCTTCTCTGGAGCGAGCCCTCATACCTTCCACTTGGTACATTTGGCAAGAATGAGTTGTATGCACCCCAGCCTGTTCATAGCTTGTGTGTGTGACTACAAGGAAGTAATTTAGTTAAATATTATAATATTGTTGAATTGAAACTACAAGATCAGTCATTTTTGCTTTGTTAAAACTCAGAGGGTGAGAGATGTACATATTTTAAGAATCAAAGGATACTTTTTAAATGATGTAAGTATGAGCCCCTTGCCTTGTCACTCCTTACTCTGTAGTGGTGATCAATTTCATTTCTTTTAGCTGCTTTTTGTTTGTTTGTTTTCTTTTTCTTTTTTGCACAGAGATTCAATTTTTCTCCCCCTCCTTTTCCTCTCTCTCCATCTTTCCTTTCTTTTTCCTGTCAGTACTGGAGATTGAACCCAGGGGTGCCCTACTATTAAAATATAAATGCTATGTAAATTATAGTGTACAGTATTGTTTAGGGGATAATGACAAGAAAAAATATCTGTACATGTTTAATCTAGATGCAATTTTTTAAAAACTTTTTTTGGATCTGTGTTTGGTTAAATTTTGAAACAGAAAGTCATGGGAAAATCTGGGCAGTTGTATTTTACAGGTCCTAGAAACATAAGGCAGGGCATGCCACATGAGGTCACCTAGGGAAGCACCCACATCAGTCCAATGGGAGAAAAGGCCAAGGGGGCGCCACCACCTTTAGGAGAGTTTTCTTGGGAAGGTGTGAAAAGATTAGGATTGGATAGTTTGAATAATTTTAGTGGATGTTATACTATAGGGGTGGCCCTGAGTCAACCTGGTACCTGGTCTGGGATGACTATTGGTAGAAGAATTTTGCTTCTTGAGATGTACTGGCAGATAAAGGAGGTGTGGGTCTACATTGGCTAGTTTGCATATTGAAGGCACAATCTCAGCGGAGTCCTTTGCAATCTCTAAGAATTGAATAGCCTCTGGAGGGACAATTTCTCCCCACCAGAAATGTTTCTAAAATGTCAAAACACAATATGCAGAAAATACAAACATAAACAATAACAATACAGTGATTTTAAAATCAGACATTCTATCCATTCAGTATTTTCCTGGAAAATGTCCCTGCCTTGTGCCCTCTATATTCCTGCTACAAAGTGGTATGGTTGCCCACTAGGTCAGTTGCACAGCCATGCCCTGGAAATTTCCATCACCATCATTCTGGAGATTCTTCTTGCTCTTCTCTCTTGTCCTTCAGTGGCCACAGTTCTACCTTCCCGTATAGTCCCTATTTCGATGAAGGGGAGGGGAAACTATATTCTTTTTTTCAGTTGTAGATGGACACAATATTTTTATTTATTTATCTTTATGTGGTGCTGAGGATGGTGCTGAGGATCGAACCCAGGGCCTCACACGTGCTAGGCGAGTGCTCTATCACTGAGCCACAACACCAGCCCGAGAAGAGAGAGTTCTCGGTGGACACAACATTGGTATGTGGTGCTGAGGATCGAACCCGGGCCGCACGCATGCCAGGCGAGCGCGCTACCGCTTGAGCCACATCCCCAGCCCCGAGAAACTATATTCTTAAGGAAGGAATGAAAAGAAATGTTTTAGAATATTCAAAAACATCTTTATTTACCTGACCTGTTATATTCTGGGTTGCAAAACAATTTACCCAAAATTCTGAAGACATTGTTCCAGCTTTCAGTTGCTGATGAAAAGCCCCAAATCCACTTCTATTTCTAGTCTTTCTAGAAGCTTCTAGTGTTTTCATTTTTTTGTTGTTGTTGTTGTTCTGGGTTTTGAACTCAGAGGCACTCAACCTCTGAGCCACATCCCCAGCCCTATTTTGGATTTTATTTAGAGACAGAGTCTCACTGAGTTGCTTAGTACCTTGCTATTGCTGAGGCTGGCTTTGAACCCATGATTCTTCTGTCTCAGCCTCCCAAGCCGCTGGGATTACAGGCATGCGCCGCTGTGCCTGGCTTTCTTATTTGAAATTTTACAATAATGTGCCATAGAGTGAGGATTTTTTTTTTCATTATGCCTTGTATTATGTTCAACGTGGAAGCTCATGACTTTTAAATTCTGGCATGTTTCCTTGTGTTATTTTTCTAAAGGTTAATTATTTCTATCATGTGCCTCTATTTAAATGAGTATACAGTTCTCCTTTATCATGTTAATGTAATGAATTACACAAATTAATTTTTGAATATTGAATCAACCTCACATTTTTGAGATAAGCCCAACTTGGACATGATGTAATGTCTTTTTATTTTTTAATTTTCTTTTTTTTTCTGTACCTTTGTTGAAGGATAATTGGTATAAAAATGCTTCACATATTAAAGTATATATTTTCCTAAGTTTAATATATGTGCACATCTGTGATACCATCTCTACAATCAAGATATTGAACATATTCACCATCCTTCCCTCTCACCCCCAATTTTCAGGCTTACCTGCTTTCTGTTGCTAAAGAGTGGCAGAATTTTCTAGAATTGTGTATACCTGGAAGCATGCAGTATGTATTTTAGGGGGGCTTACCTTTTAAACTCAATGTGATTAGTTAATTAATTAATTAACTAATTAATTAATTAATTTCACAGTGCTGGGGATTAAACCCAGGGCCTTGCTCATGCTAGACAATCACTCTACCACTGGGCTACATCCTCAGCCCAATATAATTACTTAGATATTCATTTGTGTAATGGCATGTATCAAGAGTTCACTCTTTTTTATTGGTATGTATTATTCTTTTGTATGGATATAC